GCAGGCTCCCAGCAGAGCAGGGAGCCCGATGCGGGGCTTGATCCCAGGACCCTGGGATCATGACCTGAGCCGAAGGCAGACGATTAACGACTGAGCCACTCAGGCACCCCTCTTCCTTGTCTTTGACTTGTCCTTCGCAGTTCCCTTCGGTGGTCTCCATCTGTCTCACTCTGAGCCCTTTCTGCACAAGCTAGCCCACTCCTATTGGGACCTAATAACTCACAACTCGTTGTCTTTGGCCCAGAGCTCTTCCCTGAGCTGGGGGCCACATATCCAACTGCCTGTTCAGTGTCTCCACTCAGACATCCACAGGCACCTGTGACCTACCACGTCCTGACTAATCTCCCCATCTTCCCCACTCCCCCAGCTGCTTCTCCCATGTTTCCTAACTCAGAGAATGGAACCCCTCTCCACCTCGTGGTGGCCTGTGGCAGATTGCATCAGTGGCCCCAGTTCTTCACCTTCCCTGCGTCCACACCCTTGCCCAGGCCTCATCCCCACCACTTGGCTTTGGGTGGCCCACGAGACTTTGGCTGGTGGCACAGAGGAGGAAGTATAACAGGACGGTTCCGAACCTAGGCCTTCAGAGGCCTCACTCACGTGTTTGCCCTTGCCCTCTTCTGCTCCCCAGCTTCCATGAGAAGAGCATGGCTGGGGTACTCCTCTGGTCCCAGGAAGAGAAGGATGAGAGACATGTGGAGCAGAGCCACTCCACCTGAGCCTAGCCTAGATCAGCTGACACCTCTGCCCCGTCCCCTGCTGAGCTGCCAACAAGTGAGGAACAGTGCACTACAAGATTATTGTTCTAAGGCACCAAGTTTGAGGGTGCTTTGTTACACAGTTAACCAACCAGGTCGCCTAAACTAGAAACCAGACATTGCCTTTGACTCCTCCCCCTCTCAGTCCACGTGGTTCCCAGAGCTTCCCGAATATCTCGTGACTCCATTCACTGTCTCCATCCTTGGCACCTCTGCCTTACCTCAGGCCTCCTGCAGCCCCATTTTAACCCATTTCTCCTTTCTGCCTTTTGCCCCTATTCTCCACACAGCAACTTCCTATTATTCAAATCTGATCGCGTGACTTCTTTTCTGGGGGTTGGCTATGCCCTCAGGCTGGGGTATCAGGGCCCCGGATGAGGGAAGGACGCTCGCTGGGGACCGTGGGTATCCTGGTCACTGCAAAGAGACACCTCCGGGGCAGTTTCTGCTTTGTTCCCAAGTCAGTGCAGGGGCTCTTTGGTTCTGCACAGAGAGCCAGGTTCAAGCTTGGAGCAAAATAAGCAAAAGACTAGCCTCACTCAGGCCATGGCAGCACTTCCTCAGGGTCCCCCAGAACCACCTTTACTGCTGGGTGTGCTTTTTGAGGGCATCAACAGAGAGGACAACCTGAGAGTCATCGACAACTTGGAATTACACTTTCTGTCTTCATTCGTTGCTAATGGGTTAAGTCGTGGGTGGGCAGCTTCCCTATGTAGGCAAACGGGCTCTCAGACCTCCAAAAGAAAGGATGAGTCACCAGAATGGGGTAGGTGCCACAGCCCACAGAGAAAGGCACCCCTGAACAAGATAGGGCCTCCCTGTGAGATAACTTGAGAAAGAGCCAGCGGCCTTGGCCTTCAGAGACATTTGTGTTTTGCCACAGGCCTTCTCATAAGACTACCCAGAAAATTGTCTTCTTTAGGGGTTAAACATGCAGATTCTGGAGTCAAATTTACTGGCGTGTGGGCCCAGTTCTGTCACTGATCTAGGGACCTCGGGCTGACAGGAGCATCTGGGCTCCAAGCAGCTCAAGTTCAGCAAGAGAGACAGCCAGGTAATCAGACCATTGCAAAAGTATGAGAGGGGCTCTCATGGGCTGGGGAGGCCCTGGGAGGAGCATCTCACCTGTGAGAGCTTCTGGAAAGAAGTCAGTCCTAGGGACAAGAACGACACAGCCAGTGGGAATGTGGGGAAGAGAAGGTGTCCTCCCTTCCAGGGGGAGAGGGAGTGGGTCTGATTTTGTTTCTCATGCCCCCTTTGCCATGTCTGGCACACATTAGACTACCAATACCAGCTGATCCCAGGAACGAATGAGCCTCTCTGTCCAGAACACCGGGAGCTCTGATTTTAAATACAGAGGTGGGATGTGGCACATGTCAGAGCTGGGTAACCATTCAGATTTGCTGGGACCTGACAGGGCCTGTTGGAGCCCAGTGCCTGCAGCCCCAGGGTACATTTGTCTGTGACCTCTGTGTCACCGGCATGCGTGGACAGCTGCCTTAGTACCCGAGAGACAGCCATGGAAGTCTCCAGGCTGAGGGCCACCAGAGAGGCAGGTTAAAGGTGGAACCTCTGGCCCAGACGTCCTCCGCGGGAAGCCAGGCCGCGTTAGGGCAAGACCTGTGCAGGGAGCACATGTGGATGGATTGGAGGGCAGGGGAGGGGTGGGGAGAGAGAGCTGCGCAGGGGGTACCTGTCCTGTTGCACAGGTGCGAAGCGCGAGGGCCCGGCCGGACTCGCGTCCCCGCCCCGTCGCCCGGCAGGCGGCGCCAGAGCGCAAGCCCGTGGGTGACACGGGTCCCGGAGTCCGGCCGGGCGGGGCGAGGGGCGGGACCGGCGTCTCTGGGCGCTGGAGCGCGGCGACACTGCCGCCGCGGGAAGGACGGACAGAGGGGCCGTCGGACCCTCCGCGGCCATGGCCGAGCGCGCCGCTCGCCCCTGCTGCCTGGGCTGGGACTTCAGCACGCAGCAGGTACAGGCGCTGGCCCCAGGTCCGGGCGGGGCGGGCCACCTCCTCCGCGACGCCGGGCGGGCTGGCGGGACCCGGGCTTCCTGGGGGTGGAGGGGGGGACGCCGGCTTCCTGGGGGTGGGGTGGGGACGCCAGCGACCCCGCCAGATTCGGCCGCGACCCGGCCTGGACTCGGGCCCTCCCGGAAACGGTGGGCGCCCCCGCCCCCAGCCCCGGCGGATCCCGCGGGCACGTAGCGGGAAGTGCCTCGAGCGGCCGGTGTCCCCAAGCGTTCGCCCGTCGCGGGCGCTGAGTGACAGGGACCCGAAGGAGCTCGGCCGCAAGACTCGGGAACAGACAGACAGACACGGGTAGACGTGCACACAGGCATAACCAGTGACCTGGAACCAGATCACTGCTTGGAGCTTTTTTTACGTGGAATGGGCACGATATACGCATGAACTTTGTTCCACCCCTGGTTGGCACCAGCATGCCCGGGTCAACAACGTACCCGGCACTGCTGGCCCCAGGACGGGCCGTGCTGCTCCCGGAGCTCTGCAGACAGGCGAGCAGAGTCAAAATGCCTTCAACCTGGGTGTGGGGTACCAAGGGCCTCCCTTTCTTTAACTTGGGAAATCAGCACAGCTGCAGTCAAACCCCTCGGTCTCCGCCATGGGTCAGGGAGGCAGGCTTAGACCAATCCCTGATCAGAAAGTCCTGTGGGACTCTGCAGTCAGGTTGCCTTGCTGGGTCTCAGTGCCCATCTGTCCGAGAGGAGCTGTGAGGAGCTGTACCCCTGAGTTTGGAGGTCTGCTCCCTTCCGGACCTGTATGTCTCTGGACCATGATCACAGCCTATGGGAACAGCCCAGGGACCTTGTCTGGTCTCTCAGGTCCCTGCACACGGGGTCCCGAGAGGCATCTCCAAATGCTGCTTCTCATTCCTTCCCCTGGAGGACTTAACTCAGGCCTCTCTGCCAGGTTCTGGAATCAGCTCTTCTATGAACATCTGGTTCTTGGCTTTGGTTGTTTAGAGGGACCAAAGATTCCTTGAGCAGTGTAGGTGTTTCGACTTTGCCTCAGCCTCTTCATTTTACCTACTCTTTGGGTATGTTCCCAGAGGAGGCCTCCATTGCTGTGGTTACAGTGATGTACCCCAAGCTTCTGGGACGTCTCCGGGCTGAGCCACTCACTAGGGTGCTGGGCCTCACCTGGTGATGTTCCTCCCCCTGGGCCAGTGTAGAAGCTGAGGAAATTTCTATACACCATTTTTTAAAATGCCTTCCAGGTGAAAGTTGTTGCTGTTGATGCAGAGCTGAATGTGTTCTATGAGGACAGTGTGAATTTTGACAGAGACCTTCTAGAATTTGGGTATGTACCTAGTGTATGTGTGTGTGGGAGGGGTTGGTTTTGGGGTCCTCCCTCAGCCTTTTACATTTATAAACCACACTATTCCGGTGTTACATTGTGATTTACAAGAAATACGTATTTGGTCATTCAGATGGCCAAAATATATTTCTCACATGCATTTGTTCTTCATCCACAGTTCCTGGCTCACAGCTCCCCAAACCCTTGGAACTTCCTAAAGTGCTGAGAGTCATAAAGGTGTCTTTTGTTACGTTAATGGAGATGACTTTTGGACCCCACCTGGGGGTAGGGGCTGGTTGCCAAGAAGACCAACCACATGATTAGAGGTTGGGATTTTCAGCTGGAGGTTGAAAAGGCCAATGGCCAGTGGCTTAGTCAATCCTGACTATGTAATGAAGCCTTCATAAGAGCTCAAAAGGACTGGGTTTAGAGAGCTTCTGGGTTGGTGAACATGTGGAGATTGGGCAGAGTGGTGTCCCTGGAAAGAATATGGAAGCGCCTTGCACTTTCCCCATACCTGACCCTATGTATCTCTTCATCTGGCTGTGGATTCCTGTCCTTTAATAAATTGGTAAACCTAAGTACGAGTTTCCTTGAGTTCTGTGAGCTGCTCAAGCAAATTAAAAGAACCTAAGTCCATTGGAACCAACAGTCTGTGACTGGTTGGTCAGAAGCACAGGCAACAGCCTAGGGCTTGCGCCAGGCATCTGAAGTGGGTGGGGAGGGCAGTCTTGTAGGACTGACCCCTTAACCTGTGGAATTTGATGTTGTCTCTGGGTAGATAATGTCACCGTCTGCTTGTGTCCGAGAATTGCTTGGTGTTGTGTGTAGGGAACCATTATCCCCTCCCGTCCCCCACCACATTGGAATTGCATCCAAGAACCTAAGAGCTGATACCTGTAGATCTGGCTTGATCAAACTGCAGGCATGGTGGGGTCTTGGTAGACCTCTCAGCATCCTTTTTTCCTGTGCCCTGAATGTGTTCTCCATTCCTTCCCAATTCTATGCATGCATTCATCCATACATGCAATAGGTATCAGTTGAGACTCACTTTGTGTCAGGCACATGCTGGGTCCTGGGATTTGATGGTGAACCAGAGATGTGGTCCTTACTCTCCCAGAGCTTCCTGTTGAGTAGGGGAGACTGGTATCAATCAAGGAATCTCACAAAAAAATATTTGATTATAGACTCAGAGAAGGCCGTTGAAGGAAAGGAACTCCCTTCTCCAAATATTTATTATAAAGGAATGGGACCCAGACTTGGGGGGTGGTCAGGAAGGGTCCCTAAGGAAGTAGTGCTTTAGCCAAGGTCTGAGTGAGTGGGGTTCACCAGGTGATGGAAGGGAGAGAGCATTCTAGGCAGAAGGATCAGTGTGTGCAAAGGCCCTGTGGCAAGAAAGAACACTGCTTATTCAGTGAATTGAAGAAGGCCAGTGTGGCTGGGGAGCAGAGAGGGAGGTGGAGCCTGGGCTGGGTCACGTAGGCCTTGGTACGCAGTTTGTCTATATCCTAATACCTATGAACAGCCACTGAAGGACCATAGGGATGGGGGTAAGGTGTGACACGGTTGTATCTGTGTTTTGAAAAGATCTCTGGGTGCAGTGGGAGACCATTTGGGGGTTGGTCAGAATGCAGGTTGGGAGACCATGGAGGTTTTTCAAGATCATCTAGATGGGAAATAATAGTCTTGGAGGAGAGAGCTGGGTGGCGAAATTGACAGGGCCTGGGGCAGAATTGAATGTGAGATGTGAAGGTGAGGTTTCTGGCTGGCCTTCTGGATGGATGGTAGACTGAAGAGAGTTGGTTTTGGGGAGAAAGATCATGGGTTTAGCTGTTGTATTAGTTTGGGAGGGCTGCCAGAAAAAAAAATACCACAGACAGGGTGTCTTAAACAACAGGAATTTATTTTCCTGTAGTTCTGGAGCCTGGAAGTCCTAGGTCAAGGTGCTGGCAGGGTCGGTTTCCTCTGAGGCCTCTGTCGTTGGTTTGCACATGGCTGCCTTCTTGCTGCCTGTCACACGGTCATTTTCTGCCCCTGCATCCCTGGTGCCTCCACTGTGTTATTTGTGTCCCAACCTACTTTTATAAGGACACCAGTCATACAGGATTAGGGCCCACCCTGATGACTTCATTGTAAATTAATTGCCTTTTTCAAGGCTCTTTCTCCAAAAACAGTCACATTCTGAGGTACTAGGGATTAGGACTTCAATATATTAATTTGGGGGGAATATAATTCAGTCCATACAGCTGTGGACTTGTTGATTCTGAGGTGGCTCTGAGAGGCCCTGGTGGAAGTGTCCCTCCACGACTCTTTTAGATATCACTTCCGGGGCGCCTGGCTGGCTCAGTCGGTAGAGTGTGCAACTCTTGATCTCGGTGTTGTGAGTTCTAGCCCTTGTTGGGTGTGGAGATTACTTAAAAATAAAATAAAATCTTTAAAAAAAGAAAAAAGATATCACTTCCCTGATGACTCTTTGTGTACCCCCACTGCTGCTCATGTCATATGCCTCCTTTGAGTTGAGGTTGGAAGCCATCTTGCATTTGTAGTTTGTATTACTGCAGGTCATGTGTGTTTGAGTTTTGGTAGTTTGTGTCTTTCAAGGAATTGGTCCGTTTCATCTAAGCTATTAAATTTGTGGCTAGTGTTGTTCATAATACTCCTTTACTTTCCTTCGGTGTCTGTGGGATCAGTAGTGATGACCCTTCTATCATTTCTGATACTGATTATTTGTGTCTTCTCGCTTATTGTCTTGGTTAGCCTGGCTAGAGGTTTATCAATTTAATGATCTTTTTGAAAAGTCAGCTTTTGGTTTTGTTGATCTTCTCTACTGTTTTCCTCTTTTCATTTCTCATTGATCTGTGTTCTCATTTTCAGTATTTTCTTCTGCTTGCTTTAAGCTTGCATTGCTCTTCTCTACTTTCCTGGAGTGGAAGCTTAGATTTTTTTTTTATTTTAGCTCTTCTTTTCTAATATGTGCATTTTAATGCTGTAGATTTCCCTCTAAGCACTGCTTTTGCTGTATCCTACAGATTTTGATACCATATTTTCATTTTTTTGGGGTTCAAAATACTTTTTTAGTTTCTCTTGATACTTCTTTGACTCATGTGTTATTTAGAAGGATATAGCTCAGAGGCGCCTGGGTGGCTCAGTCAGTTAAGCATCTGCCTTTGGCTCAGGTCATGATCCCAGGGTCCTGGGATCGAGCCCCACATGGGGCTCCCTGCTCAGTGGGGAGTCTGCTTGTCCCTCTCCCACTCCCCCTGCTTGTGTTCCCTCTCTTGCTGTGCCTCTCTGTCAAATAAATAAATAAAATCTTAAAAAAAAAAAGAAGGATATAGCTTAATCTCCAGATCTTCCAGTGATCTTTCTGTTCTGGATTTTTGCTTTAATTCCATATTATAGTATGAAAACACACTTCATGTGATTTCTGTTCTTTTAAATTTTTAAATTCTATCTCACTTTCTCTTTTGACTCAATGAGTCTATCAGTCCTCTCCATTAGAAAAAAAAAAAAAAGATATCCCTACCCAAAATACAGTATTGCTTAGTATTGCTTTTTTACCCAGTTACATTTTTAAGATCTAGTTCATTCCTCCTGCACTGTGTTTTTTTTATAATTTTACTGAGATACAATTGATGTACATTAAACTGAACATATAAAATATGTACAGCTTTGTAAGTTTTTTAAAAAGATTTTATTTATTGTTTGAGAGAGAGAGAAAGCGTGCATGAGCATGAGCTGGGGGAGGGGCAGAGGGAGAGGGAGAAGCAGACTCCCCACAGAGCAGGGAGCCCCATGTAGGGCTTGATCCCAGGACCCCGGGATCATGACCTGAGCCGAAGGCAGACATTAACTGACTGAGCCACCCAGGCGCCCCAGCTTTGTAAGTTTTGACATAGATGCTCCTCCATGAGACTATCACCAGAATCAAGATAATGAACATTTCCATACCCCAAAGGTTTTCTCATGCCCCTTTGAGTTTATTCCTCTTCCCTACCCCAAGCCCCCTGGCAACCACTGGTCTGTTTTCTATTACTATGGATTAGTTTACACTTTCTAGAATTTTATATAAAGGGAATCATAATTATATATTCTTTTTTATCTGACTTTTAAAACTCAGTATAATCATTTTGAGATTCATCTGTTTTGTTACATGTATCAATAATTTGTTCTTTTTGTATCTCAGTAGTATTCCATTGTATGAATGGACCACAATTGGTTTATCCATTCATCTGATGAGGGATATTTGGATTGTTTCCAGTTTTTTATTATTATAAATAAAGAGGCTATGAAACTTGGTGTCTTAGTGTCAACCTAAGTTTTCATTTGTCTTGGAAATGAAATACTCAGGAATGGTTAAGTTGTATGCTAGGTTTTTAAAAAACTGCCATATTCTTTTCCAAAGTGGTTTTTTTAATACAGATATTTTGTTAATAGGCATTGCATGTACTTGGTACATAATTTGAGAGAAACAAAAGGCATGTAGTGAAAAGTCTTATTCCCTCCGTGATCTCATTTCTGCCCTCCTGCCCTCCTCAACAGAGAACTTTCATTAGTTCTTTGTGTATCCTTCCAGTGTTTTATATCAAAATATAAGCAGATGTGAATATTTTTATTTTCTCCCTTACTTACATATCAGAAAGTTTACTGTACACACCATTGTGTACTTTGTTTTATTCATTTCACAATAATTAGGCTGTGTTTCCACATCAGTACATAGAGCTTCTGTGTTCTTTTTTTTTTTTTTTTAGAGGGAGAGAGCGTGTGTGATCTCGAGTTGGGGGAGGAGTCGGGGGGCAGGGAGAGAGAGAATCAGAAGCAGGTGCCCTGCTGAGCACAGAGCCTGACGCAGGGCTGGATCTCACGACCCTGAGATCATGCCCTGAGCTGAAACCAAGAGTCAGTTGTTTAATGGACTGAGCCACCCGGGCACCCTCTGTGTTCTTTTTATAGGATGCATAGTATTCCACTGTGTAGATGAAATTGAAGGACGCTGGGTTGTT